AGGCGAAGAAGAGAAAAGTGCCCCATAGATTGAGGCTATCCCGCAGAATTGGGAAGGTGAAATGATACAAGGAAAATTGTCGATGAGTCTGAGGGGCGATGCTAATGTATAGATGATGGAAAACTGACTCAAGAAGCTTCCCTGAAGGAAAGTGAGATGATACCCCTTTGATGCTACCCCTTTATCCGCATGCACACTTGATAACCATATAGAAATATCCTGTCGCGGGGTTCAGCGCACGGCCGAGTTCTATTGTCGACGGGATTCTCAGCGGGCACATGCATTTTTCCTTGCTCATACGGCACTTGAACTTTGTGCTTGAGGACCGTACGAGGCTATTGCTCCCCCACCTGTTCCAGGCGCCTTCTTTTGCGCCCCTTGTGAAATAAAGTGATAGTTGAAAGCAAGGGGGATGTCCTTTGCCAAATGTGCGGCGCCGGAGTAAGGAGTGATCTCATTTTGGGGGGGGGACCTCTATTAGGAAAAATTATCGCTCTCGCCAAGTGGAATATCACGAAGCATACTGACACTATATATGCCCCCGCCTTCCCCCTTCATCCCATGCTCGTGCACAGCGTAAATATTCCTACGTACTTGACTTGGACGCCATTGGCCTACTAGGAAATCATACCGCAACCACGGTCCTCCGCGCCGGGCGTTCATCTTCGACTTTCCCGGATTAGTTCGATCTTTTTACTCAGCACCATTTTGTCCCGCCCAATTTCTATTCCTGCCTTCGGGTTACCCCCCTTTGTTCAACGCGCTCTTGGGCTTTCGACCCTTCGTGCTTCCCGTCCGATACGTGTTTCAACTCAAGGCCGCCAACTTCGTATGCCGGCATCCTCCTCCCCTTCGTCTCCGACATCTTCCTCCTTCCCTTCTCCGCCCCCCCTACATCACACGCCCGATCCTTACGATGGCATAATCATTGATCCTCAGCAACTACCGAAGGACCCATGTATTTTTGCACAGCATTTGACGGAATCATTGGCGGGTGCGTATGGCGTCACGGGAAGGGGAACTAGGAAGGAGTAAGGTCGGGAGGGAAGGTCTGAGATGCATTCGTCGAACGCGGCCCCATGTGGAGAGAGAGCTAGACTCCTACGCACGCGCAGCTTGCGTAAAGCTACGACTCTGCTCCCTGGTTCGGACTCGACCAGA